AAATTATTTATTAAAACAGAAGTTATTGTCAAATTGGCTAACATACAGTGTGTACAGTGTGCTCTTGGTTTTGGGGTAGATTCCCATGATTCATTGCTTACATATAACACCCAGTACTCATCCCAACAAGTGCCCTCCTCAATGCCCATCACCCATTTTCCCCTCTCCCCCGCCTCTTTCCCCCAGCATCAACCCTCAGTTTGTTCTCTGTATTTAAGAGTCTCTTATGGTTTGCCTCCTTCCTTCTCTGTAACTATTTTTCCCCCTTCCCTTCCCCCATGGTCTTCTGTTAAGTTTCTCAAGTTCCACATATGAGTGGAAACATATGATACCCAACTTTCTATGACTGACTTATTTCACTTAGCATAATACCCTCCAGTTCCATCCACGTTGCTGCAAATGGCAGGATTTCATTCTTTCTCATTGCCAAGTAGTATTCCATTGTATATATAAACCACACCTTTATCCATTTATCAGTTGATGGACAATTAGGCTCTTTCCATAATTTGGCTGTTGTTGAAAGTGCTACTATAAACATTGGGGTACATGTGCCCCTACGAATCAGCACTCCTGTATCTGAATAGGAATTATGGATAAATTCCTAGCAGTGTTATTGCTGGGTCATAGGGTAGTTCTATTTTTAATTTTTTGAGGAACCTCCACACTTTTCCGGAGTGGCTGCACCAGTTCGCATTCCGACCAACAGTGCAGGAGGGTTCCCGTTTCTCCACGTCCTCTCCAGCATCTATAGTCTCCTGATTTGTTCATTTTAGCCACTCTGACCTGTGGGAGGGGGTATCTCAGTGTGGTTTTGATTTGTCTTTCTCTGATGAGGCGTGACGTTGAGCATCTTTTCATGTGTCTGTTGGCCATCTGGATGTCTTCTTTGGAAAAGTGTCTATTCATGTCTTCTGCCCACTTCTTCACTGGATTATTTGTTTCTCGGGCGTTGAGTTTGGTAAGTTCTTTATAGATTTTGGATACTAACCCTTTATCTGATATGTCATTTGCAAATATCTTTTCCCATTCACATGCAAATACTTTAGTATGCATCTCTAACAGAGAAGGACTTAAAAGCATTGCCATTATGCCAGAAAAATTAGGGCTTCATTGAGAACCAAAAGGGGAGTCTTTTTTAAAGCCAGGAAGTCAATGGATCTAGTATATTAATTGGGCAGAGGGAGAAAAGGTGGTTGCTAGAAATTGAGTGAGAATAGCATCCCCTTGATCCAATGAGCTGAAGAAGAGGTAAGTATATGAGAGCTTTCACTTGAAATGTCTAAGCCTTGCCTCCCCCCCCCCCTTTCTTTAACAGCGCAGTCACGAAGTACTTTATGCGAGTCTGTCATACAAAATCTAAAATCATTCAAGCCCAATTCTGATTATATGTTTAAGATCCGACCCATTCCCCCAATTCCTGTTCTGGAATGGACCCTTATAAATTCCATTTTTTATTCGTAACTCCTTACAGTGCCTTATAACTGCCATCCCTACCACTTTTCCTTTACTACGGGAAGCTCTTTCCAACTGGCTCCAGTTCTTTTCCTCTCTTGGATAAACCGATATCGTCTACCTTTGACACTGCTCAAGGAAGCAGCGCTTTGCAAGGGAAATTCTCAGGGCTCAGGGTTCAATCTCATCGCCACCACCAGGGAGCTTTGAGATCTCTGGCAAGTAGTACAGTGTTCTCTAAGCTGGATACAATAGTGCCTCGCAGGGTTCCAGAGAAGATTAGATAAAGAACATGTGTAACGTGTAAAGTGTTCAGCACAGAGAAGGCACAGAGGCGCCCCACCATTCTCTTTGTTAGTTCCCATCTCCAGTCTCCGAGCACCAGAACGCCCAGCACCGCGCCTCTCCCGCTCTCGTCGCGGGGGATGCAGGGATTTGTAGTTTTTTGGTCCCCAAGTCGTAATTCCTCTCGGAGCCAGTCGGCGAGAGGAAGAACTACACATCCCAGTGGGCGGTGAAAGGAAAGTGGGGCTCGGAAAACCGAGCGTCCCCGCCCGGCTGCCTGCGCTTTCCGCTGCCCACTGGTTGTGCCCGGCACGCGAGGGCTGCGACCCCGCGGCAAAGCCAGGGAGGGCTCGAGCTCACGGGCTGGGCGACTGGGGCTGTGGGGCGCAGCGGGCAGGGGAGTCGCGGGCCGAAGAATGGCGGGTCCCTCTGCGGCCGCGGGAGCTCGCAGGGGAAAGGGGAGAAATAAAGCGAGTAAATCGCGAGCGCCCGTGTCGGAGAAGTGAGAAAGGGTTGGGGAGGCAGCCACCCCCGCAGAGCCTGACCGCCACGGGCTTGTCCTCGGGAGGAAGGCAGGGGATGGGGCGGGTGGGGACCCAGACCGCTCCGCTCTCCCCGCGGGAAACCTGGAAGCCGGCCGGGCCCCGAGACCTCCCGCCCGCAGCCCCCATCCCGGAGTCAGGCCTTCCTCGTACCGTCCCTCCCCATTTAGTCGCAGGGCACCCCCGCCAACTCCCGGGCAGCAGTGGAGCTGCACCCGACAAGTCCACCGCGCGCCCCGCCGGGGGAGGCCGGGGAGGGTCACCTCTCCGCAGGGGTTCTTCAGGTCCCCTGGAGTCGCGAGAATGGATTTGCGTGTAGCCGTGTGAATATATGTGTGTGGAGGCGGCAGCTGCGGCCGGGAATAAACCCGCAGGAGCCAGAGTCTGCGGGCGAGTGCACGGCCGCGGGCGCAGACCCCCGAGCCGTCCGCGAGCGACGCCGGAGGGAGCCCAGCGTCTTCCCCGGGGTCGCCCGGGGCCCGTCCGAGGGGACTGGGGCTAGGGGTCCGCGGAGTCCGTGCGGGGCTTCGCGGGCGAGAAGGAGGAGCCGGAGGAGGAGCCCGGCTGGCGAGGCGAGGCGAGGC